GTATAGGGGAGTGAAGTTGGGAGTGAAGGGGCCTATGGGAACTCAATGTACTGTCTCTTCAATTTTCTCTAAACCTAAAATTACTCTAAAAATGAAGTCTATTAATTTTAATATATATAAATTAGATGTTGTTATATATAATATAATTATATAATTATATGATTTTATATATATATATATAATTAACGAATAAAAATTTAAAAATGATACCTTGGCTGAATGGTTTTATAGGGCACTCTTTTTGAATTTAGGTGTTAAGGGCAGCTAACACTTAAATTATCCAGATAATGCAAGAATATTTTCAAGAAGCCAAAGATCCCAAATTCCTTTGAAAAAAATACCAAAACCAAATGGAAATTACACCCCAAAAGAAAGCCACAACCTAGCCTTACTTAAAAATGAAAATGCAAACATCTAATACAATTTTAGCAAAGAAAATACAGCCATGTATTAAAAGAAAAAAATTATATGTTTAACATTTTATCCTAAAATTTTTAGAAAGGGCCAATATTTGGAAATTTATTAAGGGGAATTCCACATCAAATATTTTCAGAAAATAAACTCTTGGCGATTCACCATACACATTAACATATCAAAAATTTTGCAGTCCTATAGTACAGCAACCTGGTTTTGGTTTAAACCAGTTTCCCCAAACATATTTGACAAGGGAACATGCTGTTACTTTTAAGTTTTATCCACTAACATCCCATAAAATACACTGCTCAATGCAGACATGCTTCTCTCCTTCAAGTTGCATAAGGGGCTGTAGCAGGCTGACTCATGGTCCCAAGATGCCCATGTCCTAATCCCTGCAACCTGTGAATATGTTATCTTACATGGCAAAGGGGAATTAAGGTTGTTAATCAGCTGACTTCAGATAAGGCAATTATCCTGAATTAACTAGAAGCGCTCAATGTCATCACAAGGGCTTAAAAATGGAAAAGGGAGGCAGAAGAGAGAATCAGAGAAAGAGATATGAAGATAGAAACAGGTCAGAATGATGTGAGAATGACTTGACCTGCCCTTGCTGGCAATGCAGATGGAAGAAGGGGCCATGATCCAAGCAACGTGAGCAGACTCTAGAAAATGAAAAAGGCAAGAAAGGGATTTCTTGAGAACCCTTTAGAGCCTCTTCTAAAGATTCCAGGAAGGAATGCATCCCTGCTGACACCTTGATTTCAGCCTGTTGAGATCTGTGTTGGGCTTCAGAAGTGTAAGATAATAAATTGGTGTTGCTTTAGCCACTGAGGTTGGGGTATTTGTTACAGCAGCAACAGGAAACTAATATACAGACTGTCTGTTTCAATACTTCCTTAAAAAAACCCCTTGCTTATTTTTGGTCTTCTACAATTAAACTTGTGAAATAAACATACTGAAGGGAAAGTGAGTTGGAATTAGTACCAAGTCAAAATTTTATAGCATTTTTACAGTATAATTGTCAGGTTCATTATTGTGGCTGTGGTGCAGTAGGAATAATACGGAACTTGCAGTTTTAATGTTTGTGTAATCTTGAGAACACCTTTTTTTCAGGTTGTTTGTTCTTTTATGCTATCTAATGGAGTTATTGTGAGAACTCAGAGTCACTATTTGACAGTACTTGAAAGCAGGGCTTTAGGGTGACTTGCAGGGTTTGAAACCTGGCTGTGGTCCTTGCTGGCTGTGTCATTTTGGGGAATTTATCTCCTGCTTACCCTGCCTATCTTACCCCACTCCATTTCTTATTTCCTTTCCTTTTTCATGCAAATTTTGCCAGGTAATACACTCATATGTGTTAAAAACCAATAAATTTATTATAAAATTTCAAACAGTGACACATCTTTGTCTTAACTTTATCATATATCTGCCTGGTTCCCCCATCACCCCCTCTCTGTGACATGCACCCATAGGTACCCACTGTTCTTAGTTTCTTACGTATATTCCAGACTTATGAAATTTAAGACAAAAAATAGAAATTCATCTTTTACATAAAAGGTGTATACATTTTATACATTATATACATCGTATTGTACTTTTCTTTTTTTACTTAAAAATTTATCCTGAAGACCATTCTCTATGTGCACGTGGAAGGCCCCTTTATTGTTTTTATTTTTCCCAGTTGTATGATATAGCTATATGCATATATTATAATTTATTTAACCTATTTATGAACACAATACTGTTTCCAGTCTCCTCTATTACAAACAGCATGGAGGTAAATGGTCTTATACATAAGTAATTTTACATGTTTGTAAGTATCAGTAGGAAAATATCCCAGAAGTGGGATTGTTAAGTTAAAGGGTTTATACATTTGTAATTGGCAGATGTGAGTAAGTTTCTCACCTTCTCTTAGCTGTAGTTTCCTCATTTATAATTTACAGATAATCATAAACATACTTCATGAAGTGGTTTTGAGGATCTAATGACGTATCATGTAAAGCACTTAGCATTAAACACATTTTAACTTCTATTAATATCACTATAATATTATATCATGTTATAAATTGCAAAGTGCTAAGCATAGTACTTTAAATATAGAATATTAATGTTATCAAATTCTGTAAGTGCTAACTTGGGGATAGCACATGCAATCATATTTTAATAACTCACCTAATAGGTAGTAGTTCCTTGCAGTTAGCATATTTATATGTTAGTTTTGCTACTAATTTGTTTAAAATGTTCTTTTCCTTTAAAATATGCTAAAGACTTTCCCAATTATCCAAATTATGACAAATTGAGTAACAGTTAACTGCTCCAATGGCAAGTTACCCTTCTCTATTAAAATAACTTAAGCTGCATTTTAGCTAAAACAGCCCAAGTTGAAAGTTGTCCAAAGGTGTTATAAGAAATAATGTATCCCAATATGTTATTGGATGATTTTTATGAACATTAGAGGGGTTGGAAGATGTGTACCCTATTCTAAAAAAGATAAATAGTCCAGTTGGAAAAAAGTCTCAACTCAAATAATTTAACTCTCTCATTATGAAGATTTCCATGAAATAATTGAAGAGTTGTTAGAATTCATATGAGCTGTACACCTTGTACATTTCAACATATTTATTATGTAGGAGGTGTCTATTATATATTCATTATTGTTATATGCACAAAGATTAATATTTGCCGTTTGCTATCCATATGTAGGATAATTTTACAGGCCACAAGTTAGATAAAATCACACAAACAAAATAATAAATGTCTAGCTGTAATTAGCACCTTACAAAACTTTCAATTTGAATGTCATATAAAGAAACTATGGGATTTTGAAATATAATAGGTCAGGATTTAAGAGGCCTCTTTGATTTTCAGCTTTGATTGCAAAGAAAGGAAATAAACAGTATTGGTAGGATATGAGGGCGTCTTTTGGAGCTCAAGGGCAAGAATTACAGTTGGTTTTCACGAGGGGCTGTAAACAGTTTAGTTCATAGCTCCATTCTACAGATTTGATGGGTCCTGCTCTCTGCTTCCTTGACCAGCTTTTTTTTCAATCTAATGGGTTTTAACTGGATTGTACTTTGAAATAATTGCTACTCCAAAAGGGTAGCTCCGTAGCTACCTTGAGCTTCTTCTAAAAGTTCCAGGAAAAAAAACTTTAAAAAATTCAGGACAAAACAGAATTGTATAGTGAAAAGAATATTGGACCAGAGAGTAGTCAGCAATCCGGGATTCCAGCCTATCTCAACCATGATCTTGCTATGTGAGTAGGAAAAAATCCATGTAAGTACTCCCTTAGTTTTCTTTGTTCTACCCATTTGCAGGCACATTTATCCCCCAAATCTATGTCAAATATGCCTGTGTTCTCTCTTGCTAGTACTGGAACCTTAGACTGGTCTATTGCAATTGCAGCTTATTTTCTCTCTCCAGCCTGAGCTCACTACTGGAACAGTACAGTCAGTACAGGGCAGAATGAAAATTCAAGCATGTATGCATTTTTTAATCCAAATAATAAGCTTTATGATGATACCTTGGATAGAAATGTGTAATATAGCAGAAGGAAAACGGTAGGTGGTGAGTTGGAACATTCACTTTTACACATATTGAAGTCAAATTTCTTGTGTAAAACCTAGTTGACTTGTCTAAGACTCAGCAAGGCGGTCTTGGCTACAGCTATAGATTTGGAAACCAACGGAAAGTAGGTGGTGGTAAATCCACAGGAAAGAATGAAATGCCCAGGGAGAGTATATACTGAGAGGAGAAAATTCAAGCAAATAATTTCATAAGTGTGTTATATATCCCATCCCCTTACCCCCGACAGTGCCCCCCATAAAAAAGCCTCAATCAAACAAACAAAAACAGAGCGTGGCACAGCTGTTTCCATGCAGTTGGTTTATTTTGAGAAGTGTTCTCAAAGAACAAGAGTGGGGCATTGTTGGAGTGGAAGGAAAGGAGGAAAAGTTAAGTAAAGGTGATTATCAAGCTGTTCACTATTGTGAACAACTGGAGTGGATCCCTTAGAGATTCACAGAGGAGCCATGAGGAATGCACCTCAGAGGGGAGGTTTATCTTCCCACCAGCTTCTGTGCCTCATTGGATAAGGATGGTCTTGTGGAGTGTCAACTCCCTCATACTTTCAGGTTTTCTAGAGACAGAATGACTGAAAGTTTCCTGCAGGCATCCTATACAATGATGGCAGAGAGCCCTGGACTTCCCTTTTGTTTGTCCATTCATTCATTTTATTGTTTTTCATTGAATATACACTTATTTTAAATGTGTGCCAGACACTAGGAAGTGGTTAAAGGTTAGAGCTCTTTCTTTGATATCCAATAAGGATGGGTCAACACAGGTATGGAGAAATCAAGAGGAGGTGGAAGAAGCAGAGAGCTTCACATCTGGTGGCCATTAACCCAACTTTTATAGGCACACATACCCTAAATATCCTTTCCATTTCACCATCCACTCTTAATTACTTTCAGTTATTCCTATTGAGGTCAGGGGAGGGGGTGGGGGGAGCGAATTTTAAAAGGGGTTTGGCTATTACCAGCTGTTTTCTTGGAGTGATTAACAAGTCTCTTCCATCTTTGTTATAGTCTGCCTCTGTGTTCCCTGGACACCTCCATTCCAGTGCAAGATTCCCATGGTTGAATTCATGTAAGTAAAATAAATATTTGGTGGAACTTGACTGGAGTAACTATTATTTATTGGCCTTTTGCTGTGTCTCAGGCTATTGTTATTCTTGTTGTAAGTGCCTTACTTGGAACATTTCATTTACTTTTTTCAAAAACCCCATGAAGAAGGTCAATTTGCTGAACCTGCCCACAGCCTCTGTAAAGACATGCAGGATAAACCTCATGCTCAACCCTTCACCATGAAAGATGTGACCAAAGTCCAGGTTATGTGTCCCATAGGATAATTAGAGGCAATTGTCGTAGAAGGAGAGCCTGGGCAGAAGAGCCTATAGATTCAGGTCAGTGGCTGGTGGCCAGGTCAAGCCATTTTTAAGAAGTGGCTGGTGGGTGAGAGATAGAGGAGGCCAAGAAGCAGAAATGGGAGAGGCCACCCTGAGAGATGGAGGGAGATTCTTCTGTTACTGAGAATTTTCATGTCTATGAAACCTGCATGCCCCTATGGCTTTTGTACTCCAAATGGTTCTCTTTTTTTATTTTTTATTTTTTTATTTTTATTTTTTTGAGATGGAGTCTCACTGTGACACCCAGGCTAGAGTGCAGTGGTGCGATCTTGGCTCACTGCAAGCTCTGCCTCCCGGGTTCACGCCATTCTCCTGCCTCAGCCTCCTGAGTAGCTGGGACTACAGGGGCCCACCACCAGGCCCGGGCTAATATTTTGTGTTTTTAGTAGAAATGGGGTTTCACTGTGTTAGCCAGGATGGTCTCGATCTCCTGACCTCGTGATCTGCCCACCTCGGCCTCCCAAAGTGCTGGGATTACAGGCGTGAGTCACCGCACCTGGCCCAAATGTTTCTTTTACATACATTCCATCTTTCATCTGAGCTAGCTTGAGAGACTTGCTGTTCTTTCCAGCCTTGATTAGAACCCAAGCCTGTATTATCAGAACTCCAGCAGCATTCATCATGTTTAATCTATATTGTCAGAAGAGAGATAGTTTTGTCTAATGGGAATGGCTAGTAGTTAGAGATCAGGTGACGTGTTTTATTTACAGTACTACCCTTTACTTATCTTGTGTCCTTGGGCAAAAACACCCTTTTGGGTTTCTGTTTCCTGATCTATGAAGTGGGGATAAAATTGCTTACCATATCTCTTTTATACAAGGAGGATATATAAAAATAATACAAATTAAAGTGACTTAAAAGTTTACAAAGCAATATATAAATGCAAATCATCATTATTATATGTGACCAAATAAAAATATATTCATCATACAGCCTTTCACACTAGTAACATTTCTAAGAGCTGATCTAGCACTTGAGTTTCAGCAAAAGTTGTCAGATGTGCTCCTTCCTTATTCTAAGGAAACGATAGAAAAAATGTCTGAGTAGGCATACCTGCCATATGCATGCATATGTATTTCATACATGCTTTTTCACTGGAGCAATGCAAATAAAATCAGTGTTACTAATCCTTCCAGCTGGGTGAGAGTTTATTTTAAAGTCTGAACATTCATATGTTCACTGGTACGAATATTTTTTGGATACTCCACACAAGCCTGCTTAGTAGAAAAAAAATTTCAAGTGCCTTCTTGGACAGAAGGTGTTCACTTTATTAAGATTTCAATATTTGGGAAGTTATAAATTTAGTGTTTTATGAATCAAACAAACAGAAATCTTAATACAAAAGTGCTCCAAATCTTCATCTGTCCCTTACTGAAAATGAGTAAATTGTGCAGGCATGAGCTTTCTGTTACTAGAGATGTTTGAGCTGTGGCTGAACAATCATCTAGCAGAGATAGTTAATGCTTGGGGGAGGAGCAGAAGATGGTCTTGATTCCTATTATAGGTCATGACCACCTTACATTCTGGAATCAGACTGCATTTGCTAGAGACTTCCTATAATACCTGTTGGAAATAATGCTGAGCCTGGAAGGAGTCTATTATTTAGAACAGGGTCAGCAAACTATGGCTATGGGTCCCATCTGGCCTCTCACCTGATTTTGCAAGTGAAGTTTTATTAGAATGCAGCCATGCCCATTCATTCAGTTATTGTCTAGGGTTGCTTTTGCCCTACAGCAGCAGAGCTGATTAGTTATGACAGAGACCATTTGATGTGCAAAGCCTAAAATATTTACTATCTGACCCTTGATAGAAAAAGTTTGCCAATTTCTATAAGAAGCAGATGGCAAAGTTTACTGTATATTTCTCAGAAAGTGCACCTTTACCTACTGGGGTTATAAGGTGTATTTAAACTTCTGTATCTATTTATTTTTGTCATGTTTATTTTTAATTTCAGCCAATTCTATGCACTAATTTCTTCATCTCTAGGATAGTGATATTACGACACTTGATCTTACCCAAAAAGCACAGAAGCAGTGAGAGTGGTGATATTATTAATATTCACTTCACTGAGTGGTTGTGAAGATTAAAAGGGAATATTTTACATAGCGTGAACCTGAACTCCTAACCACTACACTGTACTACGCTGGAACTATATAGAGGCAGATGGCGGTGGATGAGGGTTAGGGATGTCAAGGAAGTTTTGTTGTGGAGGGTGTGACTAGAGTTATATTTTTGAAGAGAAGGTGAGGACTCAGATGATAGTGGAGACACTGTTATTGCAGTTATAGGGAGGCCGGCTAAGCTGACCTCTGATCTTCCCAGCAAGGAAGTCATCACACCCTTACCCAACCCCCCTGCCATGTTTTAAAAGGCCAGAGAGATTTTTGCCTGCTAATTATTCACTTGACCCAGAGAAGTAAGTGCTTCTCTACTTTCAATCCGTGCTTTCTATCACTAAGATAAACTAGTAATGATTTGCCAATAAGATGCAATTACAGTGCCTGCTGAGGTCAATATTCAATCAGTGGTTCCATTCTGAATGCTGCTTTGATCAGTTGGTCAAAAATTTCCTTTCTTTAGATGCTCTGTAAACTATGATTGATTGAGAGGTTTGGGGGTTTAAGATTGGAATGTGGTTTCATTTTTAATCCAACTTGTGAGCCGCACTTCAAACTCTGGCCAAATGTGACAGTCTCCCTTGGGAAGCTCCTGCCTACCCTGAGACCAGAGTGGGTACTTCTTCCTATTCCTCCCATCATCTCCTGCCTTTCTACCAATACAGGTCAGACTCTAAAGAATAGCAAATAAAGTAGACTATTCTGAAGGTTTTGTTGAAAAATCAGCAAGTCATGTTGATCACTCTCCAGCAAAAACAGCATTTTTTTTTTTTTTTTTGGTTTTTCAATTCTTTTCTAGTTTCTCCTTATCTGCTTGGTCACCTTTTTCTCCCTTCTCTTTTCCGCATACAGGCTTTTAGACTTTCCTCTGTAAGTTAGAACGACTCAGCTTCTCCCTCACTTTGGAAATCTTACTCTGAATAGCAAAGTCCTTGTAGATAACTGAACAAAACCATTGACTGTTCCTCAGACACACTTTTTGGGAACACCAGCCCAGATTACCACACCTGATCTGCTGATTTGTAGGAATATAGCAAAATTTGAATGAGAATAAATCTAAGTAAAATTTTGGCACTTCATTCCAGAAACCCAAAATGATGGTACCTCATTGCATCTTGTTGTTCTACTGTATCATAATTAAAGTAGAATGCCTGAGTTTTTGTGGGCTCCTCTTTCTCTCTCTCTCTCTCTCTCCCAATCTCCCTAATTCATCTGAAAGTCTAATTTTAGTTCAAGGATAGAATTTCATCTTTGTTTTGATATGGATTCACATTTACTTAGGATTTATAATCAGAGGCTTTAAGTAGCTGGTGGTAGCCCTTCTGTGTTGCTAAGATTTTATTATTTTATGTATAAAATTTAAATCTTTAATCCTCCTGGGTTTTATTTTGGTAATGTAGCAACATATCTTAAATTTAAGATATATCCATAGCTTTTGTTGCAGAAATCTCTCTTATAGGAATCTATCCTAATGAAACAACAGCTGGACTTTAATAAACAAGGATGTTTATCACATTATTTGTCAAGGCAAATACAAAAAAAAAAAAAAAAACACATGGATGTACATTAATGAGGGAGCTACTGAATAAAGTCTGGTATAATCCTCTTATGGAACATTAAATGTTTCCTAAAATGGATAAGCCTCTCTCTATTGACCCAGAGGACTGTTGATACTGCATTGTCATGTGAGAAAGGCATCAAATGACAATAACAACTCCAAATCCCTTATATCATTTTTTTTTAATGTAAAAAGATATGGCTGAGAGTGGTGGCTCATGCCTGTAATCCCAGCACTTTGGGATTTACTTGAGGTCAGGAGTTCGAGACCAGCCTGGCCATCATGGTGAAACCCCATCTCCACTAAAACCACAGAAATTATCTGGGCACAGTGGAGGGCACCTGTAATCCCAGCCACTCGGGAGACTGAGGCAGGAGAATCGATTGAACCCGGAGGAGCGGAAGTTGCAACAAGCTGAGATCCTGCCATTGCACTCCAGCCTGGGTGACAGAGTGAAACTCTGCCTCAATAAAACAAAACAAAACAAAACAAAAAAACAAAAAGTTTAAGTAGAAAGACACCAGACTGCTATATTAGTTACTCTTGTTGGGGGTAGAAGTATGAGTAACATTTTCTTTACATGGTTTTATATTATTTCACTGGTTTTAAAGATTGTGGTAGACACATGTTAATTTTGTAATTTGACAAAAAATTTCATCTGACAAAAAGATTTTTAAAAATAAAACAAGTAGACAAGTAAAACTATTATTTCTCTATTTGAAAACTGTGATGTCAGATATTTTGGGAGTTGCATATATGTACAGAGAACTGTCTGTTGTAGTGTTCTGCTCATAGTCAATTTGGGCGAGAGCTGGGATACTTCAGGGAAGGGAGAGGCTCTTAGGTCCAAATTGGAAGAGGAGAATCCTAGAGCTATTCGTCTTGGATTGTGGTGACTTTACCTTTATTTCTCCTGAGATAGATTCTCCCTTGCACCCATTTCCCCGGTGACTCACCTGTCACTTAATCCACTGAGGGTTAAGATGGCTCTAACCCAGAAGTTTTG